CTTTAGCATCCAGAAATAGTGTGGTGGGATAAATGATCTGATCGAAGACAGAAGAGAATTATTATACCTTTAAAATGAACACAAAAATCAATAAACAACAGGGTTACGTATGGGTCTAGTTCTGCCAATTAAAACAGAGTGAAATCCTGAAAGATCTTGAACATTAGTGGGTCAACAAACACATACACATGAAACAAATACGAACATTTTGTACAATCAAATCATAAACAATCAATTTAAAAATGCATACTCACATTTCTATGGAACTTTGTAAAGGAATTAAGCATGTAAAACCGGTGCATATAGACGATTGCTGTGTTAATCGTGAGCTGGGATCTGCACAGTTTCATCAAGGAACAAAAACACTGCAAAAGAAGCTATTATATGTAATATAATCCAAAAATATAATACTCATAAATCATAATGTTTGAAACTATCACTCAGAATCACATTAAAGCAGCTCATAGTCCCAAATTACACTAATATAGATATTGCACTGAATAATCATCTATAAGAGAAAAATAATAAAATGACATTTATAGACAACAACACAACATACAACAGACACATCTTGTGTTTATCTATTATCTTACATCAGTCACGTCTAAATCACTCTTAAACCCCTAAAAGACACACAAAACAAAATTATTATAATTAAAACCATATGAAAGTAGGCAAAAACCATAACAGGATAGATTTAATTTAAGTCACCAAATCCAATTCCTGTCATTCGCACTCCTGTATTTCACACATTTACTCACTTTATACCCCAGAATACACTTTATAACGCATTTAACAAGCCATTTATGAAAAACGTGTGCAGTTGGTGAGAATTTGAACACATTAAAACATCGCATTTGATCTGCCACTTTTTTCGCTTGATCAAAAGCGGCAGCGTGCTAACGTGCTAACGGCTAACTCCCTCACAACGCTGCTGTTTTTGTGAAGGATACACGTTTAATCTCTGGCCCATGTCCTGGATTAGGTTGGCGGCTTGCTGTCGGTACGAAAGCTCGCGGTCGGGCTCGACTCCGCAGCGGCGGGACGGCGTGTTTTCGAGCTGTTCTCGGGTGAAGAGCCATTTGCTGGAGCCCCGCTGATCCGCCGCCATCATCCCGCCCGCTTCCGCCCGCACCGCGCGCTACATCCCCGTGCCGTCACCGAGGGCGGCAGCGACGCGAAGCGGACGGAGGCGGCACTGCTCTGCGCAGAGACACGTGACATATTGAGCCTGTTGATGGGAATCTACAACGATTTAGATAGCTGAAGATCAAACATAAAATACTAAACACTTTCACGTTGTCATCTTGAATAATAGAAGCATCACATGAAATGTGATTTTTGTTCTGCTAAATATACTTTTAACAGTCTTACTACACTATCAATTGTGTTTTAGGTGTAAATGCAGGCAAGGTGATTTATGTTTCATGTTGTGGTTTATAATGTCATTATTGTAGCTTTTCAAGTAATTTATAAGGGGTTTTATTTAAAAATGGTGCTGTTTTGTGATAGTACGTTTTTTTTGTTTTTTTTTTAGGAAATTCAATATTTAGTTACAATTTGATATGTTTATCATTAGAATTTTATATGTATATAACTTGAATGTATTATAACTTTGAATTGTATATGTATATTAGTAATATGTATAATTTATTTAAATGTATAGTTATTTAATATCTTAGATGATTTTACAAATAGGCCTATAACGTTTATTTTATATATGTGTGGGTGTATAATTTTATATAAAATACAATTATAGAATATAAATTATGAATATTGTTAATAATATCTTGAAATTTATTTTTATTTTCCCATTTTAATTTTTCAACATTTGTAATTTCACAGACCTTTAGGGTTCAGCAAAGAACTGCAATAGTGACTTTTTTACACAAGATGTCGCTAATTTCACTTTGATTTGTAATTACTTTCCATTCAAAATACACACATACAACCTATCTATCTATCTATCTATCTATCTATCTATAAAACAATTGAAACACATATCGTGCCAGAATAAACCAGCCTAGTTCTTTCTCGTTTCCCTTCAGAAGTACTTTATTCAAATAAGTGGTTTCTGAAGGAGTTCGAAGTCTGAACTATTTGTTTAATATGAACAGATGGTTGCTTGATCACGTCACCAGTGCTCACAGATGGATTTTCCATATTTCCACTATTGTTATTTAATAATAATAGCCTAATAACAGTTTTCGAAATGTTTGTAAGAGCGAGTCTGTTTGTAAAGTGCGATTTGCACGTGTGTGTGTTTAATTAGCGCGTGCGTGCACGCTTGCGCGAGCGGTGCGCTGAACGCTCTCCAGCAGTCGCGTCTCCTCCGCTCGCGTGCAGGTGTCACATTCCTCGGATGCTCGCGATCATTTGAACCCGGGACCCTATCATCATGACGGACCCCTCCTCTGCTGCTGACCCCACTGCTGGTCCTGCAGACCCCGGTCCTGATCCCGTTCCTGCTTCTGCTCCGGATCCACCGGTGTTGGGTTCAGCATCGACTCCTGCGAACGGACACCATCCGAGCCCAGCAGACACTTTCAACATGGAGCAGCAGATGAAAATAGCAGAGCCGGACGACAACGGTACGAGTTTGGCTTTAAACACTTTTGACACAGACTTTAGGGGTTTATTTGCGTGGAAAAATACATATAAAGCGAAGCCCGGGGCAAGTTGTCACGTTTAGCTAGGTACCCCAGTGAACATTTCTCAGGTTGGTTTTATTTCTGAAAGTCAGAGTTTCTGTAAAGACACAAAAAATAAAGTCTTGACTACAGAATATATAAGGAAAAAAAACAAATAAATAAAAAAGCCTATCAGAATAATATAGAATTCAATACAGCGGTAATTAATTAGTCTGCAATGGGAATAACGTTGACACTGATTTGAGATGAATACCTTTTTTAAAGATGAAATGACATCTAAATTATATATTAAAAAGTATGTTTCACAACATATATGTATTTAAATGTATTATAGACTATTTAATGGCGAAATTGAATTGCAATAAATTAAAAATAGTTAAATAAAAAAAAAAAAATTTTATTACAGGAGGATTTAAATAGTTTTTATAAAAGTAAATGTAAAAAATTCAAATTAATAAATGAAAATATATACAGTATACAGTTGTTTTGGCGAGCAGAAAGTGCAATTCATTTATAGTTTGAAGTTAAAACATATTAATTTGTATGTGACAACTTGCCCCGACCGTATGTTTAGATTGCAGATTCTAATTCATTATATAGTTGATTCTTTTCTGAATGAATTCTAGTGTGATTCTATTGAGCACAACAGCTACTACAACTGTAGTTTTGAGAACAAAATTCACAAAATTTATCCTGATTTAAGACAGTTTTGAACTATAGATGCTATAAATCAACAAACAAAACAAGCATTTGTATTATTCGACTTTTTAATCAAAACCTCATAGTTGCTGAGATATTGTGCTTGTGACAACTAGTGTGTCTCATACACTTTATGGACTTATTTGTGAATAAATCCCATTGAGTTCCTCTGAGATATGAAGAGATAACCTGACGTAAGCTAACCGAGTGCTGTCCCTCAGCAGGACTCCTGGAGAGCAGTATGCGTCTGAAACCCCAGGAGGCCCAGAGTTACAGAAAAAAGGCATTATGGGTATCGTGGGTCTCCATTGTGGTGACAATGATCTTAGCCATCGCTGCGTTCAGTGAGTATCCGGACCCTCTTCTCTAGAGCATCACAGGCCCCTTGATGATACAGACCTGTATGATGTCATATCCTGTTTTGAAGTCGATGTAGCTTTAGTCTTTTGGGACTTTCTGATGCAGTTGTAAAGAACGAATTCAGAATCGTTTCTGTAGCAGTTTGATTTTTACCTCACAGTCTAGAGTGGAATGTAGAATCATATATATGTATGTATACACACACATATAATATCTTAATACAAATATTTATATAAGACATGACATTTATATATATATATATATATATATATAAACATACACAATTTTTTACAAAATGTATCTATCTATATATATTTAATATATAAAATATAATAATATAGTTATATATTTATTTTATGTATCATTATTTAACCATTTTTTTATATATGTTACATATTATTTAATTATATAATTAATTATAGTAATTTATAAAATAATACTATTATTAATTTATATAATAACAATATTAATTACAAAATTATATGTGTTTAATTAAAAATATATGAATATAATTCTATAGAAAGAGAGAGTTGAGAGAGTTTGTGTGTGTGTGTGTGTGGGTATATCATATAATTTTACACATTTTTTCTGGGCCGAACAGAGCCAACAGCTGTGTGTAGTTTGGTTCAGTGCCATGAGCTTGATACACAAGATCAGGTTTGACTAGTTTCCTCGTGGCTTTTCTGCAAGATTACTTTGATAATCTTTGCTGAAAGAAAGTGCAGAGGATAAACTCAGACACACGGGAACGTTGTAAACCAAATACATTTAAAACACTTTATTCTCAGCTACAAACACAGAATATCCTTAAAGGTACAAAACTGGAAGGCTGTCAAAGAAAAGTGATCATATCATACAAAAAAGGAATTGTTCTTGCTCTTTTGAATATAAAATGTACTTAAAAAGAGTTTTAACCGCTGTGGAGACCATTCTACGGTCTCAATAGCATACTTGCATACTATCCTTGCTATTTCTGCACTATATAGACTGTACTGTGAATTTTGCATGTAATATCTGGATCACAGTTGCTGTTTTCTGGAAAACTGTATCCCAAAATGCAGTGAACTCATCCTGACCTTCCATTTCCGAAAAGATCCGAGGGACATTTTAGGCTTTAATCGGCATTATACCTCAAATGCTTTTGATAGAGCTTAACTTGAACCCCGAATATTCCCTTAAATCTTTAAGCCGGGATGCACAAGTTGGCCTTACGCAGACTATTGTTGTTTTCTCAGCACAAAGTGCGCTTAATCATTTTGTAAACTGGTTCCAGGTCATGTGGTTTAATCTTGGAGCAGCTAACAGAAGCCCCGCACTGGATTTGATGTATGATTTAGAGGGAATGGTTTCTTGCTTGGCACTCCGTCCCTCGGGATGGAATGACTCACCTTACACTTCCAGAGTTGGACGGGGACTCTGGGACTCATGTTGCCAGGCTGTGAAGATTCAGTCACATAGCAACTCCAGAGCAACGACGCCTGAGAGATGCTGTCATTTAGTCATCTCTCTCTATCAGTAAAGGCGAGTTTTGGTGTCAAAGGAAATGAAATGATTGCAGGCAGCTGGTAAGGGCAAATAACAGAGATAGAGCTAATTGTTTTGGTAAATTAACCTGTAAAAAACACGATCAAATCTTAGGATTTTGATTTGTTTTACATTAATTTGTGGTGCTGGCTAATGGCTTTTTGACTTGGGCAACCACAGGAATGAGATTTGTTCTCGTTTTTGTTTTTGGCGCTTAGCATAGCAGCTAGCTATGGCATGAACAACCACCATTTTGTTGACAAAATGGTTTATTTTGTGATGTGTGTTTTTTTTTTTTGATGATGAACCAGCCAGGCCGACGGCCATCGGGTGGACGGTCGTTCTGGACTTCTCCAGAATGTCCAGATGGCCAGTCCGCCCCTGCTTACTAGGGTGTTCTGGGTGGTAGTTCTGGTAAAGTTCATCCACTCTTTCGTAACGTTGGGATCAGAAGGAAGGCAATGCAAACACTGTTTTTCCACAACTTGGCACTGCACAGTGTTTTGTTGTCTTCAGAACATTGTTTGGTTTTTGCGTAGACCTGCACGTTCACTTCTACATGTGCGAATCGGTGGGCGGGGCTAAACAGGAAGCGATGTAGAAGCAAGCGTTGATCTTCTTCTGTGGAGGCGGTGCTTATCCAAACTATTAGCTACATCTAAGAGTCGTATATTCCACAAGCGGTCGTTTTGGCAGACTGCCTTCAGTATAATCTGTTTTTAGACTAACGAGAAAGTTTTGAATTCTGAAACTTACAGGATGCTTTTATAGTACAATTACAGTGTCAAAAGATCAAGGGAATTTTGGTTTCTCAGTTCATGACCCCTTTAAAATGCACAAATTCACATTATTTCTTATTTACATGTATGCAGGGATTCTCAAACTTTCTTGTCTGCCAAACCTCTTTCGCATAATATATTTATTTAGGGTAATAAGTTA